CGGGGTCGGTACAGCAACGCTGTTCGTGGATCGTGTTTTTCGACAACACGGACTCCCAAAGTCGATTGTCTTTGGTAGAGTCCCCCGTTTCACGAGATAATTTTGGTCGACTATCTCCAAGGTGCTAGGCACCAAGATGAACATGTCGACAGCGGATCATCCGCAGTCCGATGGCCAAATCGAAAGGGTGAATCGCGTCGCTGAAGATGTTCTTCGCAGCGTCTGCGCTGGGACGTTGAGGTGCTGGAGCGCCATGTTGCCACTCGTAGAGTTTGCACTGAGCAATGCAGAGAATTCGTCCACCGGCCACACGCCGTTCTACGCGAACGGGCTTATTCACCCTTGCGTCTCGCTGACGCCGCCATCCCATGGCTCAGGGCTTGGTGGGGAAGGAATAGCCAGACGGCTAGCTGATGTCAGCCCCCTCACCATCCGTAAAGAAATCGATGACTTCTTGCCCACCAGACTGAGTGTCTTACGACACGTTCGCGATGCGATGGCTTGAAAGCCAAGACCTGCAGAAAGAACATGCAGATGAAAAAGGAAGAGGAAAAGTGGAAAGCTTAAGGCCGGAGATCTTGTTTTATTTAACTCTCAAGTCCTAACTACACATGCATCCTCTGCTATCTCCCGGACGAAGCTTCGTCCACGGTTAATTGGTCCGTTAATGGTTGTGGCCAAGCGGGGCTAGCGTATACGCCAAACCTTCCGACACGGATGCGCACCCACCCGGTGTCTAACGTGGGTTTGCTCAGGCCGTACCGGGATCCGACGCAAGTAAACGCGGAAGCATTGGCGCCGGAGCGGATCCCTCAAGCCCGCGACCATCCAGAAGTTGAACCAGCAACTGGTTCTGAGCATGGAGTGCAACAACCTCCACCTCCAATGGCACCAAGCGCTCCACTGTTGCCTGCAGCGACGCATTCGCCTGCTTCACGACTAGGAGTCGCTCGGACAAAGCGCGGTAGGCCTCAAGGCGAGGCAGTCGGCGCACAACGCGCTCCAAATGATCAAGAGCGTCCGCACAGCGATAAGCTACTTCAACATGACGCTCAGCGTAGCTCCGATCACGAAGGATCTCGTCATCAAGGGCTCGAAGAGCACCACGAATCACCGGACGGCGGTCGACCCGGTCGCCATCGCCCGCCATCGCCCGCCACCGACTCTTCTCGATGAGAACGGTGATGTCCACTATCATATGGAACGTCTAGTACGACGACGTCGTCACCAGGGTCAGACCCAATATCTGGAGAAGTGGCGGGGATATCCCGG